ACCAGGGGTTTAGAGGAGAGGACTGGCACAGAAGCCAAGGAAGAGGCCGGGACCAGGGATGAAGACCAGGGTTTGAAGGAAAGGACTGGCACAAAAGCCAAGGAAGAGGACGGGACCAGGGATGAAGACCAGGGGTTTAGAGGAGAGGACTGGCACAGAAGCCAAGGAAGAGGCCGGGACCAGGGATGAAGACCAGGGTTTGAAGGAAAGGACTGGCACAAAAGCCAAGGAAGAGGACGGGACCAGGGATGAAGACCAGGGGTTTAGAGGAGAGGACTGGCACAGAAGCCAAGGAAGAGGCCGGGACCAGGGATGAAGACCAGGGTTTGAAGGAAAGGACTGGCACAAAAGCCAAGGAAGAGGACGGGACCAGGGATGAAGACCAGGGGTTTAGAGGAGAGGACTGGCACAGAAGCCAAGGAAGAGGCCGGGACCAGGGATGAAGACCAGGGTTTGAAGGAAAGGACTGGCACAAAAGCCAAGGAAGAGGACGGGACCAGGGATGAAGACCAGGGGTTTAGAGGAGAGGACTGGCACAGAAGCCAAGGAAGAGGCCGGGACCAGGGATGAAGACCAGGGTTTGAAGGAAAGGACTGGCACAAAAGCCAAGGAAGAGGACGGGACCAGGGATGAAGACCAGGGGTTTAGAGGAGAGGACTGGCACAGAAGCCAAGGAAGAGGCCGGGACCAGGGATGAAGACCAGGGTTTGAAGGAAAGGACTGGCACAAAAGCCAAGGAAGAGGACGGGACCAGGGATGAAGACCAGGGGTTTAGAGGAGAGGACTGGCACAGAAGCCAAGGAAGAGGCCGGGACCAGGGATGAAGACCAGGGTTTGAAGGAAAGGACTGGCACAAAAGCCAAGGAAGAGGACGGGACCAGGGATGAAGACCAGGGGTTTAGAGGAGAGGACTGGCACAGAAGCCAAGGAAGAGGCCGGGACCAGGGATGAAGACCAGGGTTTGGAGGAGAGGACTGGCACAGAAGCCAAGGAAGAGGCCGGGACCAGGGATGAAGACCAGGGTTTGAAGGAAAGGACTGGCACAAAAGCCAAGGAAGAGGACGGGACCAGGGAAGGCCGGGACCAGGGATGAAGACCAGGGGTTTAGAGGAGAGGGCTGGCAGAGAATCCAAGGAAGAGGCCGGGACCAAGGATGAAGACCAGGGTTTTAGAGGAGAGGACTGGCAGAGAATCCAAGGAAGAGGCCGGGACCGGGGATGAAGACCAGGG